CTTTTCACACATCTTTTTCCTGTGTTGGTCTTTCAGGGTCTGAATCTGTGTAGCTGAAATTAGTTGAACTTATGTTGTTGGCTCCACTGAAGCAGGTTATGACTCCAAACTCTCTCTGTCTAAAATTGTTCTGATACCTGTACCTCTTCTTTTTGCCAGGATCTGAATAGAAACAATACCTTCACATGAAAAGTCCTTTACTCAAACAGTAAATCTTGGAGAACCACCATCAGCCCTGGGATGAAACAATCCTTTATTCTGTTATGCAAATAATTTAATGTTTCTAACCTTTACAGATAGAATATGTAAACTGCACCTCCTTACAAACAGGGTCACCTTCATTCCCTCAATTAAGTATGAAATAAATGGCACAGTAAGAAATGTAGGAATGTCAGTTTGTGTATATTCTGGTATCCTCTTTGTAGTACATGCAGGTTGGGTTAACCAGGCAGGTGTTCTCTTCGTTCATTATACTTTAAATACTTGCTTTTTGTATCTACAATGCAATGAAAACACAAAAGAAGGCTTTTAAGAGCCCTTCATCAAGCCAGGCAAAAAATGAAGGCTAAGTTAAAGCTGAAAGGCTTTTGCAGGTACAGAGACTCTGGTATACAGCATGGTAAGAATTTAGTGCACATGCACTAACAAGCAAATGAATGCTTTTGCCACTACAATTCTTTCTAAGAGTCTCCTGTTTCTGCTGCCACAGATTGAATATATTGAAGAACCTAAGCACAGTTTTGTGGGTGGAACTCCATCCACTCTCAGCAATTTTAACAGCACAGCTATTCCAGTCACACATCATGACTCATCACATTCCTCCTGGCAAAAGACTGTACTCCAGCTAGAGAAATGCTGCCAAGAGGTTATGTTTGATTTGTGACCAAGAGAAAAGAAACCACGCAGAAGTTCAAGTAAATTCTCCAGGAAATATTAAAATGGAGGTAGAAAACTCTGAAAGTAGGATGAAATACCCCTCCCCTCAATGCACAAAACTACTGAGTTTCATTACACGGTTCCTGAGGATGCTAGTAAGTTGTGCCTTGTTTTGCTCTTGCTCAAAATTCAGCACATCAACATGGTCAAGTTATGGCCAGCATTATCTAAATGTTGACACCATTCAAACAGAATCTCTCCAGATTCTCCATGAATCAAGCAGATTCCTCCAGGTGTAGGAATGCCTCACCCTTATACCAGCACCAGATAAATATCAAACCCTATTTATTCCCAGTCTCTTACTTCAACACAGAAGGATGTAATTTATACTCTATGTGACTTTGAAAGACCAAGGTATTTCTGAAATCTTAATGCAGTGAAAATAGAATAAACTGAGTTTTACTAGAGTGAAAGTGGATCAAAGGAGAGGTGATTTTCACATAGTGATAATGAACCTTAACTACATGCAGCCTTGTACCCTTCTACTATTAGACTGTATATACTTTAGGCACTGAAGATAAAAGATTTTAACTTATATATACAAAGGGCAAGGTAAACTACACATTTTATCAACTGTTGGGTCTTTTAAATAGCAGGGACGAGAGTTCCCAAAGGCACTGCTGACAACATCATGCAAGTCATCTAGTAATTGTGATTCAGCTTACAAGACACACAAAGAAAACTTTTGTATATGAAACATTATTTCAGAATCTCACAAGACCAGAAAGCTCTCAGTGTTTCAAAAAGAGATTAAATGTTAACTCCGTTGGTCTCTTTTGTCTGAAATTCACTCTTTCTATGAAATTCAACACCACACAAAGAGCCAGAATCAGGATTAAGGATCTCATAAACCCCATTTAATTCCTTTAAAAGGCTTCTGTGCAGAAATGAATTGCAGTCTGAGAAAAGTTGTACTATTCACAAAAGTAGGAGGGTGGGCTTTAGAATTACTATGAAAACTCTGTGCTCCAGCAAACTTTTTGGAAACACACTTCTTTTAAATGGAGATGTATGTTCTTTAAAATAGGCATTGAAAATAGAATCTTAAAATGCTTTCTCTTAAAAAATTATATCTATTAAAGTCAATTTCCCTGTTGCTACTGACAACAGAGTGATAACAACAAAATGACAAGAATCAGGTCAAAGTCAGCCAGTACCTACGAGGGCTTTTGGGCAGGCTTACCATTTGTGGGGATTCTCCCTAAAATTAGGGTAATGGTCTTCCATTGGTAAGAAATAGGAGGCAGAGAAATGCAAGATAGTGAGTCCCCTGTAATATGCTCTTCATGTACCCTGCAGGAGGTTGAGTTCAAGGAAGACAGAGAGAAAGAATAAAAGAACAAAACAAAAGAGTTAATATTCAATTTCTATGCTTCAGGTATAGTCTTACTTGGGGACCTCCCTATGAGTGCTCACAGCTCTTTCTGGTGATAAAACTGTTATTGTGTGGTTGATTTATGTCTCTATTTAATGCATGACATGAATGGACAGAGCAGTGCATTTGGTGAAGGGACAGGGAGTCCCTGGTGATGTAAGCACGCAGTTGAGCTACTGCTAATCTGTCAGAGAGCAAGAGCAACTTTGGTGCCTGTGCCAGTCCCAGGCAGGCTGAACCTCTTTTAAGTTTAAAAGCAGAGCTTTTTAAGTTGTTTTATTTGTTTTGTTTTTTTTTTTCTTTTTTCCAGTTGGAGTAAATTCCAGCACTACTATTTGGGCACGAGCCAGCCTAATGCTCAGTATGCCTGGGAGTCCTGGGGCATTTGCAAATGCTGCATGGCTGCAGGAAACTGTCCCTGGGAACTGCAGGCTCTGAGCTTCCCATTGCTTACCTTAGGGAAAGGAGAATACCCCAAGCAGGAAGGGTCTGTTTTGTGGAAGGAATGTTCATATAACCCTGTACATCACTGAACCCCAGAAAAGCTAAAGCTCCAGAGAAACTGCAATGTGAACACAGCAAAGCCAGACAACTAACAGCAGCCAGCCACAGAAGGGGCTACTGAGGGCTGCCACTTAAAATAAAGGATTTAATATAACAATTTCTCTATTATCTAAAATAATATGGGACTGGAATACCCCAGTAAAATAAAAAACTCTGTCTTGGGGAGATGCGGCCGCCACCACATGGCAAGTAACTGCACAAACTCAGGAAAAATGCTATGGTACAAAAGAAAATCAACTGCATTTATTTTCTATGAGACAAGAGAGTTTGCTTAATGCGTACAGAACATAGTAAGATACTTAGAGAGGAGTTTTGAAATAAATTTGTCTGTTTGGAAAATTTCTGTTCTTTCGACTGAATTCTGCTACTTAAATCTAAGGTCATACATCACCCCATGCTGTAGACTCTCCTGGGACTGGGGTTCACTTGAAAAAATAATCAGAAAAATCAAGATATAAGCATTGTCAATAGTAAAAACTTTAGTCAGAAGCCAGTATTTGTTTCAATAAGTAGGGATAACTGGAACTCTTCGTGTCATTGAAGTAGAAAAAAAAATGTATTTACTAGATATTTTCTTTAATTACATACAATATTTTCATTGTAATTATGTTATTTCCGTCCGCTGTACTTCAGGAGAGTAATTCCTTCATGCCTTTAGTCACAAGGTGGCGACGTTGGAAGGAAGAAATGAGGGAGACCAGGGACAGATTAGCACCCTGAAATGCTTCCACCACACTTCGGAGAACATAATAAATCATGGGTAAACTCTGATCCGTATATTTATGTAAAAATTCACGCACTGACTTTAAATGTAAAGCAATTAAAAGAAATGTCAGCCCAGGACTATAAATCCCCTAATGCAGTATAATCCTTGAATTATAACCATTATAATCCTTTCAATATAAACATTCTGGTGGGAATTCAACACACCTGTGCACACCTTTTCACCATATCAAATTCATTATGTAAATAAGAGGAGAAATAATTGTCTTTCCTTTCTAGGATTTCCTCTCCTTATGGTTTTGTGAGCAGCTATTTTTAAAGAAATATATGGAAGCAATTACAAGATCTCGTTAAAAGAACACAAAAGTATTCAGCAGAATGAGTTCCACGGTAACAGCAGTTTTCTGCTACAGACCAAGCAAAGCAGAGAAAATTTAAGACATGAATCTTTTTATTAAAAAGCATCTATAAGCTTATTAGCTCTGAACAGAATCCAGCGTCCTGTTCAAAGAGGCTTTATGCAGAAAACCAGCAGAAGCTCATTATTCACAGAATCATGCAATCGTTAAGGTTGGAAAAGCCCTTTAAGATCATCAAGCCCCACCACAGTGTTCATCACTAAAACCTGTCCTCAAGTGCTACATCCACGCATCTTTTGAACGTTTCCAGGGACGATGGCTCCATCATTCCCCCGGGCAGCCCACTCCAATGCTTCACCATCCTTTCAGGGAAGATTTTTTTCCCGATGTACGATTTAAACCTCTCCTGGCACAACTTGAGGCCATTTCCTCTTGTCCTATCCTTGCTACGCCCTCTTTTCAGGCAGTTCCAGAGAACGACAAGGCCCCCCGAGCCCCCTTTTCTCCAGGTTAAACACCCCCAGCTCCCCCAGCCGCCCCTCACAAACGCACCGCGTTTGCTCCCAGGGCTGCTCAGGAAGCTGCTGGGGAAGGAGCGCCTCAGGCCAGCGGCGGCCTCTGCCCGCCCCGCTGGCAGGTGCTCCACAAGCAGACTTTTGTCGGGAATGCACGGAGGATGGGGCACAAACAATTAAACCACCACACGACAGCGCTGCCGGAGACCTCCAGAAAGGTGCTGAGGCAGGACTCGAACCTGCAGCCTCGGGTTCGCCAGCCACTGCACGCCAACGCAAACATAACCCCCCTCCCGACACCCACCACGGCGTGACAGCACTTCCGTAAACATCGCGGCGGGATGAGTGACAGGCGCGACGACCAATCGCGACGCGCGGAGCGGCGGAGGGGGCGGGAAGGCCGAGCGCGGCGGGAAGCGGCGGCGCGCGGGTAACGGCGGGAAACGGCGGCGCACGGGCCGCGCTGTGCCGAGCCGGAACCGCCCCGGAGCGGCCCCGGGAGCGGCAGGCCTCAGATCCCGTTCCTTCAGTGCGGCCACTTCTGCATGTCCTGAGTAAGGTGTAGCCTCTCGAGAAGTGCGTGCTGAGTTTCGTTTGGTGCCGGTTGCTGCGTGAGTCTCTTAGTGGTGCTAAGTCATAAGCACGTGGAGCAAAGTGTACTGTTCTTCTCCCCTTTCTGTGGCACAGTGTAATAAGTGCTTTGTTCTGCCGGTCTGTATTTAGGTGTGTTGCTACAGCCTTCCGATGGGGGCAAAACCAGCTGTCAAAAGATACGAAACAAGAAGTAGGAGAGCAGGGACGGAGCTGCCGTCATCCAAATCCCGAGTGGATTGGAGACGCACTAGACGGGCGCTCTTACTGCCTGACAGCAATGAGGAATCCTCAGCCAGCTCCGAGGAGCAGGAGGAGTCCACCACGTCGGAAAGTGAAGCAGATGAACGAGATGAACAAGCAGCTACGAAGAGCAGTTTTCTTTCAGATGGGGAGGAGAAAGACCGCGCTGGGGAAGTGACAGAAGATGGTGACGATGAGCGCGTCATGCCTGGGAAGAGAAAGAGGCTGGGCACCTCTGTCATGTACGACAGCGATGAAAGTGAGGGCAGCGACATCCTTGTCAGAAAGGTTCCTGCCAAGCGCCGCTGTGTAATGGTTGACGGCGAGAGTTCTGAAGAAGAGCAGCCTGATAAAACATGCCCTGCAGAGAATGTTTCTGCTAGTAAGAAACAGAACGTACTTGAAAAATTGAAAGAACTTGTAAGACAAAGCGCAGCTCGGAGATCCTGCAGCAGTGCAAATTGTGAGGTGGGGGTTTTATCTTTGAAATTTAATTGGAGAAAGTATTTAATGTGAGGAAAGGTTAAGAGATAAAAATCAGTGGGATTTTTTTGGCTTTGAATGCATGACAAAGTAGCAGTTCAGTAATATTTTAACAGTCACGTTAACTGGATAACTATTAACTGCTAAAAATCTTTCAAATTATTTTTATCAGGAAGCAGAATACCTGCTGAAGTGTCTTGGAGATCTCATGTTAGCTTAATTCCTAGAAGTAGACTGAAGAGAGGTACATGGAGATAACTAATTTAAAGCTGAAAGTAATTGTCATCTGCGGATGATCTACATCTAAGGATGATGTATTCTTTGGAAATGCACGCTTTTTTGTTAATTGAACAAGTGGTGTTACAAGATGGTCAGAAATCTTAGCTGGTGTATGTAGTATTTTGTCTGTGCGACTACTGAAAATTCTTGTGTTTGAAGTACTTTTTAAAATTTAATTAGGATTCCAATAGTGAAGCATCAGTAGAAGAGGAGCCACTCTGTCAATTGCCCCTCATGCCATCAGAAGGTAGTGAAACTGACAGTGGCAGCATAAAAGATTTTATAGTAGAGGAAGAGGAAAGCGATGATGATGACATTGACAACACAGAGCTTGTGAAGAGTGAAAATCAGCCACATCAAAAGCAACCAAATCCATCAAACAGCGAGCTGCTGGCACACTACATCCCACAATGTAAGATCAAAATTAGTGATAATTCTTCATGTATAGCTAGCTCATAGTACTGTAGTAAGAACTAAGGGGCTAAATACAAATGCTAAGGAGTAGGATATGATATTTAAAAGCAGATACCTAAAAGATTTTAATTTATTATGAAAGCATTCTGATTTCCACAGAAAACTTTTACAGTATTTCAGTATCTAATTAAAGAGAGGGTATAACTTGGGGGGGAGAAGGTGAAATCTTATTGCACAGATTTTTTTTCGGTTGGTCTGATTTAGGATGAAGTAGACTGCCTGTGATGCATTCATTCCTGTGGAGACCTGAAAGCATCAATTCTTCATCCTACAATCTTGTGGTTTATGCTAAGAGCAGCTATGTTAATCTCTCCAAATTCTGTTCTCACTACGAGTTTGTGGCTTGAGATTTTATTTTTTGGATTTTTTTGTTTAGTTGGTTTTTATGTTTTGGGGTTTTTTTATGTATTTTTATTCCGTGGTGGTAAGACTTGGGACCAGAGGTCTAGAGGGGTTTCTGACTTCACTGGCCAATTTCAGCCAAATTACACAGAGCAAGAAAACTATTCAAATTGTTCTTTTATGAAAACCAGTTTCTGGATGTAGCAGAGAGATTTGAAGCAGAATCTTATGTGAGTTATTTTCTTCCATATTTTGTTATTCAGAATGGACAATCAGTGCTAGTGTAGGTAGTCACAAGCATTTGTGGTCCTTCTTCCCCAGTGAAAACCTTTAGCAAAACTGTATTTGAAAGAAAGAAAAAAAATGAACACAGCAAACAAAATACAAGCAAAAAACTCATGACCACAACAGCCTGGCCGTCTCTGATTTACGTTATTTTCTGCGAGTAGTAGAACAAATTATTCACTTCTCTTAGTGTTTGTAGTTCTTGCTGTGGACTCTTCTTGCTAGAAGCACGTGTAACTTTACGATGCTAAAATTCTGTAGGATCACTGGGGTGAGAAGCACAATTTAAAGCCGATATCCTATGGGTATGGATGTTGTCCATTGAAATTATTTCTTAATCTGTATTTAAATAACTTTAAAATTCTAAACTTCCAACACAGGAGAAGGAGAATTCTTACACGACTTCTAACATGGCTTTTTTTTTCAGATTTTTTTACTTCTTTTGGTAAATTTTGATTGTATTGCTTTCTTCCCAGTATCTCGCTGTGATCATTACGTACATTTCAAAAGAATAGTAAAGGCTTTCCTCATAAATGCAATTGATGACAGTTTTCTGAGCTCATTATATGGTAAGTAAATTGCATTAAATATATATATTAATGCATTCAAAGTTATACAAAGCCATTTATTCTAGGGAAGGGTGTTTCTCCTGATTAGAGTATAGAACTGAGGGTCCTGAAACCTCTGGTTTTCCTGCTATATAACTTTGGTGAGAGAGAGCAGAGGAGACTCTATCTGAAAATGATACAGTAATCTTGGAAAAATGTGTAGACTTAATTCTTGAGCACAGAAGGCTTGAAATGCCTTCTTGAGATGTAGGAATGTGTTTTTGTGTTATTAATCAGTAGTAACCTTTCCAGCATGAGAACCAAATTAGTTTCAAAGCAGATACCTCAATGAAAACATTGCAAGGTCAGCTGGTTTGTCAAAATCTCTTGTGCTTCACATCTTTTTTTTCTTGGGAATTTGATAGATAATGAATGCTTTTAGTTATGGAGATGACTCTATATCAGACTTTTTTTCTTTGTTTTTAACACATCAGATAAATAAGCTTCAGCTGCAGTCAGTACTTGTCTTATTCTTTCTGAGGAAGTGCTTTTTGGCATTTGGCCTAGTGGAGCTGAAAAACAGCCTCACACATAGTTTCATAAGCACTGTAAAGATGGGATTAAGGAGAAGCATCTCAGTGTCAGATTGTGGAAGGAGTCAGTAAAGTGGAGTGGAGGTTCTGGTGTCATCAGAAACTAAGAGGGAATGGAGAAACTGAAGTACACCACAGACCTCAGAATAAAGTCTGTATACTCTTGAAGCTAAAAATGTCTTATCTACCACTGCTAGTTCTTTCAGGTGTTTGGTTTGGTTTGTTTCAACAAGTAAAAACAAGCCTTTGAAAAGTAATAAGTAAACACTGCCAGATTAATGTTGTAATAGCTTCCTTCTATTTCAAATTATATCTGCCCAATAAAATGTAACACTTTACTGCCAAGTTGCTGGAATTAAATGAGCTCTGCAGGTGAGCTGAAGGTTGTACATGAACATTGTATGAACATAGCTTAGCATTACAAAAATCTATTTTTGTAACGTAGAATGGATTGTTCTGAGTTAATGGAAGTGAATCTCTTCATTAGTTTTGACTCAAGAGCAGCTACTGTAGTATTGGAGTTCATACTTGACTTTTATTGGGAGGGGGTTTGTTTTTTGGTCTAGCACAGCCTCTTCAAGCTCATACGGCAAATGTGTGTGTAAAGTGAATATAGAAAAACAGTTAATTGCCATTATGGCTATAATGACAATTAACTACGTTTATATAGAAAGCTGGATAGCCAATGGTCCTTCTCAGGTCTGCCATTTTTTGGATAACAGCTTTGCTAGAAGGCATGGGAAGGTAGCTGAATTAAGTTTTATGTCTGTACACACTGAAATTCCAGGGCACTGTGCATTGGCCTGCTTCTAGGGAAGTCCTGTTTAATTCCTGGAGTTCGTCATGTATTTGGGAAACAGTAATAGCAGTAGTTGTACTCATCCTCATGTTTTTTTATTTATTTTGCTTGAGTAAGTATTTGGAAGTACTTATGCTGCCTAACTCAAGGCACCTGACTCTGCTGCTGAAGTAAAGGTCAGTTTCACTGTGATCTTTATAAGTGACAAAGAGATTTGTCAAAATTTCTGCTCTGAAGTAGCTCAGAGCAGTTTGTTTTCGAGGATTCCAACCACTTCCCTTATATATTTTGAACAACTTAAACAGATTGGTTGAAAAGCACAACATTCCCCCAGATGCTTCCTCCTTTTCCGTTCTTTTAAATGGGATTGAGTGAATGGATCTACATTTGGGATGAGAGCTTTTGACCTGTTTGTAGAGTTTATTCATGTACTCCTTTTAAATAATAAAATTTATCCCTTTATCAGGGTGCATGGATCACTTTTATGGGTAACAGTAGCAAATGTATTCAATAAGGGTTTAGTAAAATCATTCATAGTTCTTAGCATGCAGAAGCATAATGTCCTTGAAAATTTTATCTAAAAAAATTGTACAACGTAGGGCAGTCAGCAAATTAGTAATGATTCTCACTGAACAGATGGAACGAGACAAAAGAGGTATGCACGAGATATGCTGCTGTCTCTTCATTATTTGGACAATCGCTTCATTCAGCCTCGTCTTGAGAACTTAATCTGTAGAAGTCGGTGGAAAGATCGATACAAGGTGTGTAGATTCTACTTTAAATGCTGAAATTCTCTGTAAAGGTGCAACAATCACTATAATTGTGTATCTTTTTAATAGCAACTATTGTTCTTTACCTTAAATATTTTGTTTGGGTGCTTATATAAATAGCAGAAATATTTTACATGTTGATAACCAGACAAACATTCAGGTTATCAGAGCAGAATCTGTTCTCAGCTACCTAAATATGTTTCCTGCTAACTTCACCAGATGACATTTGAAGATTTTTTTTGTCATTTGCTAAATGTTCTAACAAAATTTTTTCCTCCTCCCACAAAAAGATAAACAGTATGTTCATCATGAACCTTCTACTACTACTACAAAAAATGAAGTCAGTATAGAGCAATTAGTTATTGTATGTACATTACTAGAAGAGTATTAGTGTCATGGGTGTGATGATTTAATAATCACTGTAATAACGAAACTTGGATCTCTTTCATTTCTCTTGGACTAAGTTTGTGTGAGTACGGAGTACTCAGCAGCCTGTTTGAGGCATCATTAATTTAACAGGGATTCTTGAATGTTTTTTGGAATCTGTTTTTCAGGAGCGTGTGGATTGTTACCCAGATGTTCGCATAAGCTTGAAAAGTACAGAAAATATGTCTTGTCAGGCCTGTGAAATGAAGCGGTATTGTAAGTTCAATGTGTTGCTCTCTGGAAGGCTTTATAATAGTAAAACTTTGGAAGTGGATGACTTCATGTCAAATGATAAACAGGTAATTTCAAACCAGCACTCTATTTTTAAGTTTTAAGTTTTTCTTTTATCAAGAAAAATAAATCAGATGTTTTTCTATGACCTTTGGTTTTGCCTGCATCACAATGACCTGTGTGCTGTTTCCTCCCCAAATCTAGCCCTTAATGAAAATGTCTTTTACCGTTGTGTGTGCCTATAATGCCCTTAAGACTTTACCAGCAGGAATCTTGCATTGATTTGTGGAAAGAAACTTGTAAAAGTAACTTTCTGTATGAGGGACAATCATTGCCATTGAATGATTGTTTTCCATTTTGTTGCAAGTAAAGTTTGTTCACCATTGGGTGGCTACCTTTGCTAATTCTGTGCCTGCTCTGCCTCTAGCACTTAGAGGGTCTGTGCTCACTCCAACAGTTCGTGTTGGTTCAAACATTGAGTGAAACAGTGCAATGGTCATCCTAGTAACCCACGTGTGACCTTGTCAGAATTTACTGCTTCATTCTTCAGATTTTTCCCACATATGCTATTTCCCACATAGCTATTCACTCGGGACAAATTATCTTGGCATCTCAGATGCACTGACACTTGAAGTTGCTGATCTCCTTTCAAGAAAACTTATTTCTACCTACATCAATTTCTACCTACATCAATACATTTTATTAGAGCCTTTTCCTCATTACTGCATTATCAGAATTACTTGTCCAAACTAAAGAACATTTCCATTTAGGTAGTCTTGCATCTATTTCTCTCCCTCGGTTGTTACTTCTAGAACATTTTGGATTAAATTTTTGGGTTTTTTTTCTAAAAAGCTCTTTCATGTTGTTACATAATATTCCATTGGGCAGTCATTTAGGTGACTTGAGAAGTCACCTAAAATAATTTAATAATAGTTTAATACAATTTTATTTCACACCCGAGCCTTTTGAAAACCTTGACTCAAGAACCTGGGTGTTTCTATTATTTAGAGATCTTCCTTCAAATTTACAGCTACACATAATTGTTATGATTAGGTATGCATATGACCTTCAGTAATGCAATCCATGACCTCTAATGATAAATTCAAAGCACATGATTTTTCAAAGAATAAAATATTGCTACAGTTATTTACCAAGCTGATATCCAAGTTCTGCCTTTCTTCCCTTTCAGGAGACACAGATGGTATTTTATTTGTGAGTGTAAAAGAATTTTTGAACACAGCTGAAGTTCCTCACAGTATTTGTTGAAAATAAGAAAGTTTCAGAACAAGGGGTTTTTTCAGTATATTTGGTCATGAGGTATAATAGGATGTCTTAAGCAGAAATAAAGTGAAGCCCTTATCAAACAGGGAGCATACCTTACTGAAGCTCAAACCTGTATTGTTTGGATGTTTGCAAATTCTTTAATTTACAGATTTGAGAGGTATTACTATGTTTATCATTTTGTCATCACACAGGACTCTGCATGTAATGCAGGAGCTTGAAAATCTGTGCCAGAGTTTTTCTTATATTACACAGCCTTCTGAGCAGCAGTTGCTAATACTCTGTTTTGAAAATATGCATGTGCATGATAGTCAAGAAAGCTAGGCTTTTCCAGCAAATCTTTTCTCCTTTTAAATCCTTTTTTTGCAGGAAAACAGCAAGTTCTCTGCAATCATCCCAGCACTGATAGTCCAGTCTGTTATAGTCATTCTTCCTTACATACAAATCACTAATTTAAAAATACTGAGTTTTTCAATGGGAAGTGTGTGCCTTACCTAAATAATTAGTGAACTACCACAAAAATTTAATCTTTACCTAACTTTCAGCTCAACTGTGGAAATAACAATAGCAGTTCCCTCACTGCTGACCAAATGTCATCCTGCATAAAGTGTTGGCTGTTTCTCACTTTGGAAAAAACTCGAAATATCCTATGCAATACTGAACTTGCTAGTTCATTTTTGTCATCTTCAGCTTAGCAGTACAAAATGAGAGCTTTTTTTACCCTATGTACACCAGCATCTGGGGATGTCTGCTATGTGCCTGCTCAATATAGCTCTCAGTGGCTGTTAAGCAGACTCAGGAGAGAAAGTAATTGAGCACTTTCCAGTCATTTTTGATAGTGTCTTGTAATGCAATATTTGTGTTCTTATGGTGACCTGCAGTTTAGGCTGCTAAAAGTACTGTTCTCAAGTTGTCTTTAAAGCTCTGCTGGCAGTGCATTGCGCAACTTGTCCTGCCAATTTAGAAAAAAAAATTATAAAAGGAGAAAGGGCTCACAGAGCTACATAAAGCTGCTGTTTCACAAGCTTAATTGACTGATAGAGAAGGCAGTTCAGCACTGACAGATCAAATTGAACGGAAACACATAGTTGGACTATTTTCTATAGATTTGTTTGAAAATACCCAAGGAAAGTGGATGTGAAGAGAACAAAAACAGACCTCCAACCTCCTTCTGCATAAAACTTTCCTTTTCTCTCATCTCTGAAGTATTCTGTTTTGCCAGTAGAAAGAGAAGAGAAACAGCTGTTCCAATTTTGCTTAGGCTTGCAGTGATTGTTCACTGTCTAGGTGCCAATTCTCATTTCCCCCTGATCAGGGAGAATTGCAAGGTTTAGAGATACAAGTGTCCCCCAAACTTCCTTGCTCCTTGTGTCACCTGGATTATAAACTGTTTTCTACTCTCAGTCTTGGTGTTCTAAGCATGTTTATAAACATGCTTAGAGGACATGGATTTAGTCACTCCATGTTGTGTTATTGTCCAGCCATGCTCCTACATTCCATACAAAGTGATTTAACACAACTTTGGCTGATAGGGCCAGCTTGAGTAGATAAGTTAAGCATTAACACAGAGGGACTGAGAATTACGAGGGGAAAAAATTAGAGTGAGTACAGTACTGAGATTCTTTCCAAAGCTGCATTCTGAAATAGCATTGTATTTTTAGACTATCTTTCTTGCTTAAAAACACAATACATGGTTACATTTATACGATATTTAGCTATTTGCCTTTGGCATTTCTCCATGTCGCACATAAATAAGCTATGAAACGCACTGCCACAGGATATTTTGGAAGGGAAAAATAGTATTGACAGGTTCTTGGGAAAGGTTCTTTCATGCTATAGAACATGAGATTTGGGATGATACAGACGATCTTAACTCTTGACTGCCAGAAAATGTGTACTAATCTTATGATCACTCCAGTGTTTGTGCTGGATCTTACACTAACTTCCTACATATCTCCTGCTAGCTGTTGTCACAGGGGAGAAAACTGGGCCATCAGTTTGATGCAAGATGGTATCTCCTATTTTATATCACATAATGTTCCAAATGCCACACCTCATTGCTTGGGATACTTGAAAAGTTGTGCAATGCCCTACGAAACATTGCAGCTCAGTTCTTCATTGCTGCAGTATTTGAAATGGTGCTTCTGGAAATTTGAATTAATCAAGGCTCAGCATTAGTTGGTAGGTCTTGCATTTCAGAAACACCTGCAGCACCAAACATAAGCCTTAGCTTTTCAGCTTTGGGGATACTAGAAAATGGAGCTGTATATAGCTATAACATACATAATCAGTAGAGAATTAAAATATAGTAGTATGCATTTTTTTATATCAAAATGTTTAAAATTTCAGTTAATAACCATTTACTGTAGGTCAGATCAAAAGTTCTTATAAGTGAGCATGTCTCTTTTGACTTAACTGATACTATGCCTGGTGATATCCACTGAGCTGCTGGTTACTATATTTAAGAAATTAAGATATATTCATATAGTTAAAAAAATATAAAACTAATATACATAAAATCTGTTTACATAATGCTTAAAAATACACTTTTCTGTTACTTCCATTGTTGACAGATAGAGCTAGTGCTAGGTTGCACAAGTAGATCAGGTGTTTGGGGAACTGCTCACAGATGCAAATATTTGGTCATGCATTCAGAAAAGTTTCCAGAAAATGTGGGTTGTAAGCATTAATTAAAACTTAACCTTCTTGTCATTTGAGAGTATTCAGATTACTAGCAATAAAAGGTATCACTTTTGTGGCTCAGAAGAAATAGTTTTGCAACTTAAAATTTGATTGATTCTTATGTATATGTATGTATATATGCATGTGAAGTAAAACAGCAATGCAATTGCAGCTTGCAGTACTAACACAGAGAACTTTAGCCATTTACATACTTGTTATGGAAAGGTGTGACAAGACATCAGTTCAAAACAATGTTGTCCTTGAAGGATAAGTTGATGAGTGTTTGTTTTTTGGTTGGGTTTTTTTAATTTGTTTTTGGGGTTTTTTTGGTTTGGTTTGGTTTTTGGGTTTTTTTGTGGTCTTTTTCAGAAAAATGAAATCAATTTCTTTACATGTGTATAAATTACATTGCTTTTTAGAAAACCTGACTCCCAAAAACGAGACAGATGTAGATTTCTTACCTGATAGGCTTTGTCTCTGTGGGTTGAAGTAGTAATCAGTGTACCTGTGGGTCATTTAGAGAGAATAAACTCTTCTGACTTGCCATTGTATCTACTGGAGCTGCTGTTCGGGTAGATGTGGAACAAAACATTCTCTTGTGAAATGCAGGGTGTGCTTAAAGGCAGGTGAAAATTGAGTCTTGCTCCCTCCCCCCATCTCCAATGTCACATATTCTTAGTGACCACTTAGGATAGTATTTCCATGGTAGTGCTGATAGATGATAATAAATCTATTCTAATCCGTGCTCTGATTATGTAGTAACAGGCACATTTTACTGTTTGTTTACCTATAAATACTGCTGTGAAAAAACTGTGAAATAAGACAGTTCCATTTTTTTCTGCATGGCAATCATAGAAGTAAAACTGGTAATAACTGGCAGATGCAGAGGCTTTATTTTCTGCAGCATCATAGCTTAACTATTCCTCCCAGACAGTTGCAGATTAATGTTTGTATTGTATAAAACTTCAAGTTTGGATTTTATTTTTTTAATTCAACCTTTCCATTTATTAAGTAAGTGCTGTGAGTTGTATGCATTTCTTGAAGTAGTATTGAATATTATTCAGTCTACAAAATGTTAAAACTGGTATTTCATCTCCCTAGGAAGTACTTACATATTAAGCAAAAGTAAGCAAATAATTCCTCTTCCTCTGCTTTCACAATATGATGTTTGTCTAAATTGTTAGTGATTTTGTAACAAAGTTCCACCAGGAGATAGGAAAGATACACGCAATTACGAGCATAATTGTGTTTGCAAGAAGACCACACTGATAAGCTGCAGTTGCTTGGACTTGCTGGATGCCTGCTTGCTCAAAAATCCTTCTGCTGTGGCTATGAAAACTACATGGGTTTGTGTTAATTTTATGTATGTAGTGTTATTCTGTTTATTTCATTATTCAAAAAAAAATTCCTGGATGGAGTGGTTAAATCTTACTAGATTAGCCCACCAATTCTGTATATTGTTAAGATAATCATGGTTCTATCTAAGGGAATGATTTGTTCATTCTGGCCTAGGTTTTGAAGGTTGGTGTGGTGTGTGCAAATCGTACAAGAGTTTATCACAGCTTGAAACACTTCAAGTACAAGTTATACATGGATTGCAGCTCTGTTGTTGGATTGGATGGTGTTGAGGACGAACCAGTCAAAGACACTGTAGAACGGCTTTTCAGCCACTTGGAAGAGAGTGGATGGATTCAGAAGGTATGATTGGATTATTCCCTGTATTCTTTTCCAAGAAGATGAAAGTAACTTAGATAAAATGTCTGATTTAATCGATCAGTTCTGAGCTACCGGCCATCAGTAATACAACTCAGCTCAACCATTCCCGCATTTCTGCTGACCCAGTGTTTCAAACAATGGTGTGCTGCTGTGCTCACACAGAGTTTGCATCAGCTTTTGACATGAAGCTTTTTCACAGCTGCGTGAACTCGGGGCTGTGGTGTTTCATTTGAAAGCAGCAACACAACAAACTTGAGCTGTAACTTAGAAAGATGGGAAAGATGTATATAAGGCATAGCAAAAATATTTTAAAATTCTGTTTAGACTGAAGAACTTTGAATTGTTCAGAACCACTTCATGAACTATTTTAAGACAATTTGTAGTACAATTGCATTTAGTATTCTTTTAGATATAGCTTCTAAATTGTTATTGACATGCTTGGTCATGTGTTGAACAAGAAAAAGCAGTCTTTACATAATACAATTATTAAATATTGATAAATTGTACACATTTTATTTCATTCACAGAGATACAGTGATCTTGAAGATTGTATGGAGGATGCAGACAATTTTCAAGAAGAGAAAATTGGTTAAGAGGTCATGTAGCTCATTGAAAGACATCTTTAAAAATGTGTGAATGGCCAATTTCATCTGTATGCACTTTATCTCTGCCTGGACTTTGAGATTTCTATGTAGGCTGTTAAGCTAAATTCATATGCCTTTAAAATACTGTTTGAAATATGCTGCATCTTTTTTTTCTTATCTGTGTCAATATAAACCCAAAGTTTTACCAAATCAGTCCTTCCAGTCTTACTGCATTAAGCACTTTAAGTTTCCTACTGTTAGAAATATCAGTTCAGTATCTATTTACTTGTGAAATAAACCTTCCACCTATTTACATTGAGCTGCATTGTAGACAACCTAGGAGATGCTGGGATCTTTTGAAGTGGGTATATTTGGAAAGGTAAGGCTTTGTTATACGAGAAGTTAGGACTTGCATCTTACTTCCTTATAGCTCATTATGTGCAAGTAAGTCCAGTCAGTTAGAATGATAGTTACAACAAACAGGACCCAAATGCAAAGATCTATTTCTCCTCTGAGGAATCAGTATAGACAGTTGCAAGGCAACAGAGGAAATATTCTGCAGTCCTGACTGCATTTGCAGCACCGTAGTCATTCCTCTCTTGAGAAAGTAGGTGATGAGTCACAGTATGGGCGTCATACAGACTGAGTCTGGCTTAGCCATCTAAATGAACACATGGGACCACATTGCTGTCTCTGATAAGCAGCTGGGGCAATTTACTGAGATTTTAAACATCAGGTTACATTATGCAAATGTGCAAATACATAATGGCAGCAACTTGGAGTAACTGCAATCCTAAGAGAATGGTTTAAGATGCCCATGCTAGATAAGCAAGAATTCTTCCAATATAAGTTAACAAAAAGTAGGAGTTAGTCAGAAACAGGGTGCATGGCTTACCAGAATTGCATGAAACCCAAATCAGAGTAGATTTTTCAAGAATTTAGGAAGGGTTAAGTATGGTACTATCCATTCTGAAAAATTGGACAAGAACTGTAAATGTGCACTTGCAGCCCAGAAAGCCAACTGTATCCTGGGCTGCATCCAAAACAGCACAGCCAGCAGGCTGAGGGAGGTGATTCTGCCCCTCTGCTCTTACGAAACTCTACCTGGAGTGCTGCATCCAGCTCTAGGGTCCCAGCACAGGAAAGGCTGGGCATGCTGGAGCAAGTCCAGAGGAGGGTCACTAAATCGATCAGAGGGCTGGCTGTGAATAGGCTGAGAGCATTGAGCTTGTTCAGTCTGCAGAAGGAAAGGCTCTGGGGAACCTTATTGCAACCTTTATGTATTTAAAGGGGGCCTACAGGGAAGATGGAGAGTTTTTATCAGGGCCTGTAGTGATAGGACAACAAGTTTTAAACTCAAAGAAGGTCAGTATAGATAGGACATATATATAGGACATATGGAAGAAATTTTTTACTGTGAGGTTGGTGAGGCACTGGCACAGGTTACCCAGAGAAGGTGTGGATGCCTCATGCCTGGAAGGGTGTTTTGGTTAGGTCAAGATGGGGCTTTGAGAAATCTGGTATACTGGAAGATAACCCTGGCCATTATGATCCATAAAGGTCCCTTCCAACCTAAATTATTCAGTGTTTCTGTCCCTGTATTCTGGGCTGCATATAAAAAGAATTAGATACAGCCTAAGATAAAATGCAGGGCATTTTGAATCCTACATCTTGCTGTATGCACATACTCTATTAGTCTTTTGTGGCTGAACAACTTAGTGAAAGACTGTTAACACTCTTAATCCTTTTAACAGGTTACTCTATCAGCAGCAAAACTAATGGAACCTGATTGCTCATAGATTTGTCCATAAGTTACCACATTTATTTTGCCACTTTACTGGGAACAGATATGCTGATCGAGTAGGCAACTGCTGCCAGGTGTATTGCTTAACAATGAACATCTGCTGCCTTTTTAATATAGATGTACCTTAGCTTTATCATTCACTACCCTTTTTCCAGCATTCATTGTGAGAAATTAACTGCTTTTACTTTTTTAAGGACTTGGAATTCAGCAGTGTTTTATATGCTATTAAGGTGAGTTGGTAGCATCAGTACTCCTTTTTACCACATACAGATACAAGATATACAAAACCAAGGTAAAAATTCCCAGTAAAAAGATTGAGGCTTGCTCTCAAGTAAACTTACATTGCTGATATTCTTTCCATACTTTACCTGTGAGTTAGACACATAAAATTCTGAGGTTCCCTATGTCTTGTATCTATCTCCCTGGTTACCAAAGCTGAAGGTTTCCTTCTCTATTCCTTTTCCTCCCTCATCTCTGTTCTTCTGGGAATATTGGTGGGAACACACCCATCAACTTTAAAGTACTCAGGAATCCATCTTGAATATATCTGTTCTAGTTATTGAGACCTCACTTCTTTCTGTTAACAAAATCTCTGTATCATTTGGTTTGCTTCTCTAGAACATAACATATATTTGGTGTAACTTTATTCTTAAAAAGGAAAACCATTCTGAAATGAGTTCTGTAGCATGTAATGGAGTATCTCCTCTTAAAGCCTTCCTGACTGGTCCTAATTTTTTGCTACCATGTGAATTTTCTGAAAACTCTCAAGACTATGACTTTGCGTTAAAATTTTGTTGTCAAAATGAATGGCTGATCTCTCATTTTACTACATTAAAACAATTCACTACCAAAGTAAAGAATAAGTTTGTGAAACTCTGGCATGCTGATTACAGGTAATACTTAAAGAATACATACAGTTTGATTGAAAATTGAAATGGTCCATTCGACTCATTTTTTTATATCCCAGACCTTGTTTCTCACCTCTTCTTCATCTGCCTAAAAAGCATGTGCTATCTACAGCTTTTTTTCCAGATCATTGTTTTTTTTCTGTTGCTAGCAAGGATACAAAAGTATTCTGATGGAACTTCTTGGTAGAAAGCACTTCCATAGGTTTACTAATCTTGGCTGTGGTATCATCGCTGGGTCTAAGAAAATGCCTTAAATTGAAATCACTCATTTCTGTTTCAGTAAGAAACAGATATTTGATTTGGCAGGAGCTGATGTTTTTATGTGTATTGTGTCTCTTAAACTCTGATATTCCCCTCACTGAGATGAGAGGAAGTGATAATATTTTTGTGGCTGTTGTTCTACCTGAAGTGTTTCGAAAAGACAGCAAATGGGAAGTGTCATTACATCACTTTTACATTTTGTCTTCACCACCGGATGTTAAAAAATTGTTCAGAAGAGTAAATATGTAAAAATTAAGATCAAATTTTCCAAGTCTGTCTGCAAGTGCTAGTACAGCATGAAGCGCAAAGAAGACTGTTACCCCTGAGATTTTCTATATATAGAAATAATCACTAAGAATATTTCTAGCAGAAAAAAAAATTGTGCAAATATCTAATGATGGGAGAAGTTAGAAATCTGACTAATCTTTCATGCATTTTTTTTCCACGTCAGAAAAGCTGAATGGAGTTAGGAGGTGAGAGAATGTTTGTTCCAGTAAGATATTTAAATTGTTTTTAGTATTAATTTTTGAAGCAGTAGCTCTAATTAAGATAAAGTACCTGTCTTAATAGAACAATGAAGAGAGCTCAGTATGCGATTAGTCTTCGCATGGGTGATTAATGGAAATTACTTTATTTTCCTGTGATGTTTTGATAATCTGCTCTAGTTTAAGTTCTCTAACGAGACGGTGATAATGATGAAGTTCACACAAGGTATTTATGCACAGGACCAGGCTGACTAACACAATGTACTTCTGGGACAGGAGGTTCTTTTTGGTCTATATTCTGTCCAGTTCTTGTAGTGAAGCATGAAAAGAAACGATTTTCTCCCTGTGTCCTTCAGCTTTTGGAAAGAAAGTTGTTTGCTAATAGTAGATAGCTGTTACTGTCACTTTTTCGACAGTGAAGGCTTCTCCTGTTTCCAAAAAGCAGCTATTTTTAGCACTTCAGCAGGCAATTACATGCAATTCCCATGCTTAACTCCTCTAGTTTACATTTATTTGGATAAATAAAGACTTCTAGTTTTACCCTTTTTTAAGTCTGTCAGGATAAACAGAGTGGGCTAGTGTGCATGTGTGCTACACAAACACTTGTAAATACAATATCATTCCAAGAGAAATATCCAGCACACACAAAGTAGACTTTAATAAGTTGCCTTTCTGATTCTGCTTTGAGAAGAAAGAAATACCAATTTCTAATCTGAATTTGGAGATTAGACAAAAGAATGTAAAAAAGTATTATCTACCAGCCAAGTAATAATATGAGAAATATGTGAAATTATATTAAAAGGACCTGATAATAACTCCATCAGTGGCTCCACTTCCCTGAATAGTTGATGTGAATTTTGTTAATTGTCTAGGTAGTAAGTGGTACAATGGGATTGTTAGGATTTCTTCTCCTGTTGTTTATTAAATAAGATATAAGCACTGTTTCCTTAGATTAATTATTATTAGCTAAAAAACAAAACACACACACAAAAAAGAAAAACCAAACAGAAGTGCTCTGTTCAAGATTGCTCACTTTACAGTTTAAAGAGAGCAGCAATTGCAAACACCTTGTGCCCACAATTTAAAGACAGGAAAACTGACTCGGGTGCAGTCAGACTCTGCTTCAAAGTTAAACAATTTGCCAGGTAAGCAGCATCATACATTAGCCTAGCTGGGAATACCCCAGGAAATCAAAATGGCAAAGAACCCTCACTGAAAAGTAAATAATGAAAATGGCTGAAAATTCAAAGCTCCGAGTTCAGAAAGTCCTCTGTAGGATTGACATTAAGTATATGCCATTCCAGTGGAGTTAATATAACTTTGAAGTAATCTGATATGTGGTTTCGAAGCACTGACGAATGAGGCATGTGTTGAGACTGAAGCATGCACTCAAGATTTTAGGCAACACAGGTTCAGCACAGTCTTTTTGTTCCATTTTTGGAAAGTCATTAGCACGATGGGATGTCTATGGTGAGAATTCCTGGCTATGAACTCAGCACAAATAAGCGCTTTTCTCTTCTGGAGGGGGCTGCTGGTTTGGGAAACTCAGACCTTCAACAACAGAAAAAATGCTCAAGCATGACAGTTCATGTGAGGTTACAATGTCAGGTAAAAAGCTCGCAAGTTAGTGTCAACAGAACACAACTGAACAGAACTTGAACAGAATTGTTCAAGGACCTGTCATTTAATTGTTTTATCCTGAGTGTGCTTACAAGAATGCCACTAATCGCCAGGGATGTTACAACGTGTTAAGAACCGTTTTCTTTTAAGAAAGATGACAACCAACCGTCCAAAACTGATGGCAGTATCCAGGGGTTGGTGACATTTGCCAGGGTCTTCTGAACAAAACTTAGAAACTTGGAAAGCTGAGGGATGGCTGTGGGGTATTTCCTGCTCGGAAACACCAGGGGCAGCATTTGCTGCAGATTGAGCGAGCGGGGCTCGCAGCACGGCCTCTCGCCTCGAGAAGGAGAGATCAAACCACAAACTGAACTCTCAAGATGCTGCTTGGCAAAAAGCGGATCTTAAACGTCTCAAGTTAAAATGAAAAAATATCTTTGTTTGGAAAGATCACTCTCTGAGTTCTACGAAATCTTGTGAGAGAGAGAGAGAGAGAGAGAGAGAGAGAGAATTCCTCAACTGTCTTGGTAGCTTTCTGAGCAGCACCATGGATTTCATATTCCCACAGCCACTTTGAAAACCCCAGCCAAGCCGTCATTTAAAACACTCTTGCTTATTCTCCATGAGATTCATGTGTTAATGTTACATGTGTGTTCTGTGACTGACCCCCTTAAACACAGCAATGACATCTGAGCTGTAAAGAACAAAAAACAGCCCAATCAGGGCCGGAAGCAAAGGAAACATTGTCTACTATTTTACAAACATTATAATTTCATTTTATTTTACAGCTGTGCCAACCCACTGTTTTCAGCAGATGCAAGCTACTGTTACATATCAAATAATAACTCGCTCTTCCTCAGTTGTTCAAGGTTAACAACAACAACAACAACAAAATCTCTTTTTCCTGTTAGCAATAATGCCTTCCTCTGAAGGCAGCACAACCGCAAACCCTCTCCCCCAGAC